TTAAAATTGGACCAAATTGGCCCAAATCCCAATATTGGACCAAATTATTCATGCAATTCGATACTTCTAGCCGCCACATTCTGTTTCTTGCTTCTCTATGTTACCAAATTTTCCCATACAAAGTCACAATACCCAGTAGTTGGCTTCCTATCTTCGATTGAACTCGCCTAGTCTGCATTTGTGTAAACTTCTATGTCTTTATTTTTTACCCTTTCTAAAGAGCAGCCCCTTTCCTGCGGATCCCTTGAGATATCTGAGCATCTTATAGATAGTTTTTAGGTGACTTTCCTTAGAGGAATGCATGTGTTGACATACCAGACTAACTGCAAATGTGATGTCATGTCTGGTGTGTGATAGGTAGATTAGCTTTCCAATCAGTCTTTGATATCTATAATTTCTATTGGCCTTCCTCTATCTTCATTTTTCTTTCCGACATCCATGGGTTTATCACTTCGTTTGTATCCAAGCATGCTGGTTTTGGTTAAAAGATCAAGGACATATTTTCCCTGGGATACACAGATGCCTCTTCTAGATCTGGCAACCTCCATTCCTAGAAAGTATCACATTTGTCCCAAATCCTTCACATCGAATTCAATGGCAAGGCTCCTCTTTAGTCTCTCCATTTTAACTATATTGTCACTTGTCAGAATAATATCGTCAACATATACTATTAGAATCATTTTAGTACCATCTTCAAATAGCTAAAGAAATATAATGTGATCTGATTGTCATTGGCGATATCCCTTGCTTTCAGTACTTTCACAAACCTATCAAACCATGCTCTTAGTGTCTGCTTGAGTCCATATAAGGACTTTATCAATTTACAAACCCGATTTTTTTCGTTTACCTTACAAAATCCTGGTGGTAATGTCATGAATACTTTTTCCAATTCCCCATTTAAGAATTCATTTTTAATATCCAATTGCTGAAGTGACCAACCTAAATTTGTTACTAGTGATAGAAGAACCCGAATTGTATTTAGTTTTGCTAGTGGTGCAAGTGTTTCTGTATAGTCAATGCCATAAGAATGTGTGTATCCTTTTACAATCAACTGGGCCTTATACAGTTCTATAGTCCCATCAACTTTGTATTTCAAATTAAGGACCAAACCAATGGGTTTCTTTCCTTTTGGCAAACCTATCACTTCCTAGATCTCATTTTTTCCAATGCTGGCATTTCTTCCAATACTGTCTCTCTCCGTTTTGGAATTTTCAAGGCTTCTTGAATAGTTCTTGGAACACCGTACTGTCAAGGTGAGTAGTAAATGTATGAATTCCTATAGATAAAGCATTATAGACATGAATTTTGAAATAGGGTGTAGAGTACATGACCGTGTTTGTTTTCTGAGAGCAATGGGTAAATTCATACCTAGTATCTCTAGGGTTTTCTGAGATTCTGGAGCTACCATCGGTTCTCATTCTTTCGGTGCTTTAGATGTGAGATTCTCTAAGTTCTTTGGTTTTAGCTTTCTTGAATAAACCAGTATCTCCTTATTATTATATTTTTTTACATCTCCCTTGTATTCAAGTTCCTTTCTGTCAATGGCATACTAGAATCAGATGGAGGGACATGTTCAGGAGGACAGAGACTAAAGTCAAAGAATCGATCTTCATGCAAGGTCTTCCCCTGAAGAGAGGTGTTGACAAAGTATGGAGTATTTTCGAAGAAAATAACGTCAAGGCTTACAAAGATTCTTTTTGTGGATATGAGAATAGCATCCCCCAAAACTTCTTAGGCATATTCATAATAAACATTAAGGCACAAACAACCTCTAGGAGATGTCTATTTTTGTATTCAACAATCCCATTTTGTTTAGGAACGTCAACGCATGGTACTTTGATGAATTATTCCACGTATTTGAAGAAAGTCACCCATGATGGTTTGAAGTATTCTGTGCCATTGTCAGTATGTGGAATTTGTATTTCAGTTTGGAATTGCATTTGGATCATGGAATGAAAATTGATAAACACAGAACGGACATCGAATTTATCTTTTAATAGCTAAACCCAACTAAGCCGCGTGTGATCATCGATAAAGGTGACAAACCATTTTGTGTTGGTACGATTTGGGACTTGTGAGGGTCCCCATACATCGTTGTGAATCATAGTGAATGCTTTTGATGGTTTGCATATGGATTGTAGAAATGAAATGCGTTGGTGTTTTGCAAATTCACAGATTTCACATTGAAACTTAATTTGCTTTTTATTCATGAAAATAGAGGGAAGTACACATTTCAAGTATTGGAAGTTTGGATGTTCCATTCTAAAATGCCATAACATAATTTCACTATCACTAAGAATAGATGTAGAATCATAATTTTTAAATTAACACTGGTTACTCACATCAACCTTGTCAAAGTAGTAGAGTCCTTCACTTTACTTAGCACTGCAAGTCGTCTTCCCCGATGATAGGTTCTGAAAGATACAGTGAGATGGAAAAAATTTAGGAAGCAATTGGAAGTTTTTGTTAGTAAGCTTATAGATAGCAAATTGCATAATAAATTTGGAACATGAAGAATTGACTCTAAAGTTATAGAATCAGAGATTTGAATACTCCATTTTCTTGCACCAGTCGATAGAGAACCATCTGCATGTTAACTTTAAGATTACCAGCACAAGTTGTGTACGAAGAAAATAGATTGAGTAGTAGTAGAAAATAGGTGGTAGGAATCCGTCATGTGATCAGAAGCTCCTGAGTCAATGATCCAGGGTGTTTTAGATTGAGTAGTAGATTTTAAGTCTCTCAAAATTTTTTCTCTAGGAGCTAGAGAACCTAAAGGATTATGATCGGAGGTCTAATTTGACTGTTGGAGGCTAGAAAACATCTTGTAGAGTTGTTCCATTTGCTCGGAGTTAAAGGCCCCACTAGACTCTTTTGTCTTTTCTATTGAATAATCAACAGACACTTGATATCCACGATTTTTGTGACTTTGCCTTGGTTTCCAATATGCTAGCTTTTCGTGTAGGTCCCAACACGTGTCTTCCTTGTGTCATTTTTCGACAATATTCACACCAAGGTCGACTCTTTTGTTTTTTTGAGCTTGACCCACTAGTTGATCCTTTTGAGTATGGACCCCCTCCCCCAAGCCAAATATTAGAGTAATTTGGCCCAACGTTCACTACAGCCTCATTCTGGATTTGTGCTGGCCCATTTTTAATAATTGGAAACCCATTACTTTTAGGCCCAACACTAAGTCCAGATCCTTTAAAACCAGGTCCAATCCCAGTAGCCACACTGGTTCCATTGTTCATCACCTTTTGCCGACTCCCTTCTCTCTTTACTTCTACAAATACCTCTCATAGCGACGGTAGAGGTTGCCGACCGAGTATCTTGCCTCAAACTTCGTCCAAATCTCGGTGAAGCCTAGCCAAGAACTCAAATACCCTTTCATTCTCTAATTTTTTTCGGTAGTAGACGTTGTCTTCTGGGCACTTTCATTTTTCTCTGAACTCAGGTCAAGCTCTTGCCACAATGCCATCATGTCCTTCGCAGTGGGCAAGAATAGGTAGGTCTTTCTAGAGGGCTTCATGGAATTGACGAGCCACGCAGTTACCATTGAGTTCTTTGATCTCCATTTTTGAAGAAGAGTAGTGTCGGTTGAGGCTGGCATTTTCGTCTCTCTAGTTAGGTACCCAAGTTTTCCTTTTCCATCCACTATTAGTTGATAGATAGTGCCCACTCCCAATAGCGCTTTCTGTCCAACTTTTCTACCGTAAGTTGGAAAAAGGATTTTCCAACTCCTCCACTCACAGCAGAAGTGGCTTCTACCTCATTATGTAGTGATTCAGAGGTCATCGAGCCTCTATTATTGGCTGTAGTTTTAGTCATCTTCTCTGCTCTGATACCATGAAGATTTGAAGATGAAACTGGGGAGAAAAATTCTTTATTTTCCATGCCAATAATGTACAGTGATTAGGTCTATTTATAGTACGAGAAGATACATGGAAAAGGGAAAAAAATAAATCTCCTAAAATTCTAATCAATCACATTATTCTATGATAATTAGAATAAAAAAAAATCTTCCCTCAATCAATAACTGATTTCGACATATACCTTTTCTAAATATATGAAATTTGAGACTCCACCACGCAACTATTATTTTATTAGACAATAGTCTCATTTGAGCTTAGCACCAATGTGCATGGATTTTCGAGGGACGGACACTTCAACTAGTAGAAAACAAGCCACATAAGAGATGTCATGCTACCTAATTTCGTTGATTCTATGTAGAGTTCTCAATAACACCCCCACCGATGCATCTATCAAATACTATTTACTCTACCATAGCACCTTATCAGGGTGGTTTTTCTTATACATTCCATTTTAAATGGTCCAAATTACACTAAATCATGAAAACTGAAATTTGATTTTCTTGTTACTTTGGCCATGAAGCAATATCACTCTCTTGAAGCTTTAGTTTTCCTCTCGTTATGATTGAATGTTGTCAAGTTTATTGGTTAGTTATTCACATCTCTTATTGTAACGCCCCAAATTCTTGGAACCCGAAGCGTTATAAAATAAATCAATCTTTCTTTGGTTTGACTCCTTTGATGTTAACAAAAATTAATTGTAAATGAGAAAATTTTGGAATTTTAAATATATAAAAATACTGAAAGTATTTGTCCGTGTAGACTTAAACAATTATGGCGAAATTTGATTTTGGAAAACATTTGGAGAAAAATCAACAAGTGCCAATTGCACAACAGTGGAAAGAAAAATATATTTAGTCTAACAAACGTCAACTAAAAATTATGAAATTTTACTAGAGACTAAAACATTCATATTTGTATAACATATATAAAATTGGGGTCTTAGCGATAATGTTTGAAACATGAAAATATTGTTCGACTAAGCTGGACAAAAAATTCGAATCTGACCCAAAGCAATCTACTAAAATGGACATAACTTTTTCTCTAGATGATATTTTAAGAAAATTCCGAAGGCACTGTTAGAAGACTCTTTCAAACCCACTGATTTCAATATAAAACATACACCGTAGCCCAAGTTATATGATTTGGAAATAGAATGACAGAATCTGAAATTCAATCCAACAACAAATAAACTTTATGCATAGTCATTCCAACATTTTCTAAGTTATGGTTGACATGAAACATAAATAAAACTAGACAAATCAAACATTTAAACATATTTAAAAGCATCATCTAAGTATTCATAATAAATTTACACAAATTGGAAATTTTAATAAAAAGTGAAAGCTCACAGAGCACTCTCCTCTAGGCAAAACCATTGTCATGCCTTGAATCAACTGTGAAATTTTAGTAGGAATGAGTACTACAAGTAATACTTAGTAGGAAAATACTTAAGCAAATGGTAAAAATATATATTTTCAGAAATGCAAACTTTGTTCATTTGTATCACTGTCAATCTTTCTCTTATTTGAACCACTAAACGGTGTTTCCTTCATGAGTAACACAATAACACAAATGCAAACTTTGATCATTAGTGTCACCTTCAATCTCTTTCTCTTATTTGAAGCACCAAAAGGTGCTTCCATTATGAGTAACACAATAATATGTTTAATGCAAAACGAAAACAAATAATTCTTACATCATTAACAAAAGTGCCGAAAAAACTCCTACCTTAAATGCTTGGAGTTTGAATTCCCTTTTGTATCCAATTTGTAAGAAAATTCAACATGTTCCTAACTTATCCATCAGAAATTTCTAGATTCTAAGGTGCTTGTAGTCTATGGAAAAAGGGTAAGTGAATTTTTTTTTTTTTTTTTTTACAAGGTGTCCTATTCTAGACTAATCCTTGGGTCTGTGATCCGGCCCCTCTTCACACAGAGGAAACGTGATTATAGGGGTTGAAGAAAGTTAATGCTTTCAATTACAAATGGAAGTGACAGTTAGCAATTTAAATGGGGATTTAAATAAATGAAAATGAAATTTAAAATGATAATGTAAATGTAATTTTATGTATATATTGTGGATTTGTGAAATCAACGTGCAAGTTAACTTTCCAAATGGTAGTTAACAATGGGAGTTTAAAATAGTTAGTGAGGTGGGGAGTGGTTAGGCACTTAGTTGGTGAATGGTATATTTAAATCGGGTGCCTTAGTGGAAAAATCAGTTTGAGTGGTTGAGAAAATAATGTGGCTGAAAAAAATGGAAGTCAGTTGAAGGACGAAAAAAAAAAATAAAAATCAAGTTCAATGGTTGTTTGGCATATACAATAAGTGTATCAAATTTTAAATTTTGAAGGACTTAACATAGGCAGTGATTAATATAAAATATGTAGTCACACATAACATAACCAAATCGAATTTATCACTTGAAAGAGATTTCAACATCTTACAAAATTTAAAAAAAGTACGCAAAACTTTACTATCGTGGCCGAAGCTTTAATTTGAACTCCTAAGGAAGGGTCGTAGCGACGTAACAATACAACCCAAATTATCTTCGAGTACTACAAGAAAATTTTATTTTAAAATGAAACACAACATTTTTCTTATTTTTTTCCGATCGCTACAACTCTCCCACTTAAAATAATTTCGTCCTCGAAATTTAACTTACTAGTTTAAGGAGATCGGGATACTTAGCTATATCGTATTCTTCTCTTTCCCAAGTAGCCTCATCCTCACCATTTTTACTCCACTAAACTTTGACTAGTGAAACCTTTCGATTTCTCAAAACATGGTCCTTTCTCTTGAGAATCACAACAGGAGCTTCTTCGTACTTCATGTCACTCTGGACATCCAGTGTTTGGACATTCATCACATGGCTAGGATCCGGGATATACTTTCTTAACATAGAAATGTGAAATATGTTGTGCACTGTTGAAAGCTTGGGTGGCAATGCTAAGCGATATGCCACATTCCCAATCTTTTCAAGAATCTCAAATGGACCAATAAATCTAGGACTCAATTTCCCTTTCTTTCCAAATCATAGTATTTTCTTCATCGGCCCCACTTTGAGAAATACTTTCTTACTAACCTCGAAAGTCAATTCTTTTATCCTTTTGTCAGCATAGTTCTTTTGACGATCTTGGACAGTCTTAACTCTTGATCTAATTTTATATATAGCCTCCACAGTCTTCTCGACCAAATTCGAACCCAAAATCCTCCTTTCACCAACTTTATCCCAATATAACGGTGAGCAACAACATCTACCATACAAAGCTTCATACGGTGCCATGCCAATTGTGGCCAGAAAGCTATTGTTGTATGCAAAATCAGCCAACAACAAATGATCTTCCCATTTACCTTCCAAATCTAGGACACAAGCTCTCAACATATTTTCAAGAACTTGGACAGTTTGTTTAGATTGTTTGTAAGTTTGTGGATGGTATGCCATACTAAATGTTAACTTGAAGCCACATAATCTCTCTGATATAAATCTGTATGAGTTGTTCTAAACTATAGGTTGTTCGCACTGGAAAGAAATGAGCAGATTTTGTAAGTTGATCGACAATCACCTAGATCGTATCATGACCTCTCATTGATCTAGGAAAACAAACGACAAAAATTCATTGCGATCTTTTCCCACTTCCATTCGAGTATGCCCATGTGGTTCAACGGCCTCAACGGCCTCTAATGTTCAGCCTTCACTTGTTGACAAACCATGCATTTGGACACAAACAGGGCTATCTTTCCCTTCTTATTTCTCCACCAAAATGTCTCACACAAATCTCGATACATTTTAGTTTCGTCCTGGGTGTGCGGCATAAGGAGCTGAGTGAGCTTCAGCCATAATCTCATTCCTTAACACTTCATCCTTTGGCATGTACAATCGACCTTTAAACATCAAGCTTCATCTTCAGCTATTTCAAATCCTTTCATCTTCTTAGTTCCCACATCAACCCTGATCTTTTCCAAAAATGAATCATCTTTCTAAGCAGCTACTATTCTATCATTGAGTGTCGGTTTCCAGTAAAACTTGCTAACATCGTCGATGTCTTTACTGGTGACAATAATACTTCAATTCTCAGGTTCTCAAAATCTCTGATTAAATGATCACGTCTTGTACACAGTGCTGACACCTATCCCATGTTCTTTCTAGTTAGCGCATCAGCAACTACATTAAACTTACCTGGATGGTACAAAATGGTGCAGTCGTAATCCTTCACTAATTCTAACCACCGTCACTATCTCATATTCAACTCCTTTTAGGTGAAAAAGTATTTGAGACTCTTATGATCGATATAGATCTCACATTTGCTTCCATATAGGTAGTGTCACCAAATCTTCAAAGCGTGTACTACCACTTCTAGTTCGAGATCATGTGTGGGATAATTCTATTCATATTGCTTCAATTACCTCGAATCTTAAGCTATCACTTTCCCATGTTGTATCAAAACACATTCCAAACTAAGTTTGGATGCATCGCTATAAATCACAAAACCTTTCGAACCATCAACAATAGTCAAAATTGACGTAGATACGAGCCTATCCTTTAACTCTCCAAAACTCTTTTTGCATTTCTCCTGTCGTTCGAATATAGTACCCTTCCGAGTCAACTATGTCATAGGGCCCGTAATCTTGAAAAATCCTTCAATAAATCATCGATAATAGCCAGCTGAACATCGAAAATTCCACACTTTTCCAACTTTTGTAGGTCTGGCTAATTGGTCACTGCATTCACTTTGGATTGATCCACTTCAATTCTTCGTTCTGAAATAGTAAGGCCTAGAAATCTCATTTGGTCCAGGAAAAATTCACATTTCGTAAATTTGACATATAAGTTTTCCTCACGCAGTGTTTCCAAAACTATCCTTAAATGTTCTTCGTGTTGCTGAGAATCTCTCGAGTATATCAATATGTCGTCAATAAATACAACGATAAACATGTCCAAATATTGATGGAACACTCTATTTATCAAGTTCATAAATACTGTAGGGGCATTCGTTGAGCCAAAGGGCATCACCATAAACTCATAATGCTCATATCGAGTCCTAAATGTCGTCTTTGATATATCACCTGACTTAATCTTCAGTTGATGGTAGCCCCACCTTAAATTAAACCCCTGTTTGGTCCTAATTCTCATTCTCATTCTTTTTCTCTCTTATTTTCAACCACATAATCTTCCATAAAATAATATTATACACAAATCAAACACTTTTCATTCTTTTTCAACCACACATTTTTCATAAAAACACTATTCCAACCATTAAAATTTGGCAAGAATGGGGGCAAACGGGGGTTAAATTTCGAGAACACGGATTCACCCTTCAACTGGTCAAACAGGTCCTCAATCCTCAAAAGAGGATACTAATTCTTGATCGTCTACGTATTTAGTTCATGATAGTCGATGCACAACCTCATAGTACCATCTTTCTTCTTTACAAATAGTACCGGAGCTCCCCACGGAGATATACTTAGTCTAATGAATCCTTGTCTAGAAGTCCTTTTAACAATATCTTCAACTCTTGTAATTCCTTTGGCGCCATTCGGTATGAAACTTTGGACACATGAATAGCTCCAGGTACCAGATCTACCAAGAATTCCACTTGTTTATAGGGCGGAGTACCCGATAGATCATCTGAAAACATATTAGCATATTCCAATATAATTGGTACATCATTTAATATTTTCTCTTGAGATGTGGTACTAGTAAGAATGACAAGATATCCATAAAGTCTGAACTCCTCTTTTCCAGTTTTTCGAAAAATTACATCTTTCTTAAAACATACCATTATGGCTCGATTTTCACCTAACCAATCCATGCCTAAAATAATATCAAAATCTTTCATCTCTATAGCATACAAGTCGGCTTCTAATGTCAGTCCATCAAAAATTATCTGCATCCCCTTTGCTATTCTATCTGTATCAATAGTTCCCCCTGATAGCATACTAACCTGTAGTACACTATCATTTTTCTGACATGAAACATTAGTCATAGCTAGACATGCATTAGATATGAATGAATGTGTCATACCAGAATCAATGAGGACATAAACATGAATACTAGAGATGGATAAAATACCTGGTATTACGTCCGAATTTTAGGTAGCCATGTCGTGAGTCAAAGCAATCACCCTTGCTTTTCATTTCTTCTCTTGCTTGGGTTTCTTAGTCAACGGGCACGAAGATACCACGTGGCCAGGTTGGTTACACTTATAGCAAACATACTTTCCATACAGAAATTCTCCTCTGTGAAAGTTGTTACACTTAGGACATTAGGATAAATGGTTGCTTGACTAACCCACATATATCTGCTTCTTAAACTGTCCAGTGTTCTTATTCTTATCCTGCCACTTCCTCTTTCTGAAGTCATTACGTTGTCCCTTATTTACCAACTTCATCCCCGAATAGCTCATTATTTGAGTTTTCTTTGCCACTGCCTAAAAAGTGGTGAGATTGTGTGAACTCACAATATGCCTGATCTCTGGGCGCTCCTCTCATAACGTTTTGCTTTCATGAGCTCAGTACTTAAAAGATGTGGGGTAAATGAAATTTATTTATATGTATGATGGTTTGGGAGAGGAAACGTCATTACAGGGGTTGAAGAAAATGTTTTCAATTACAAACGGAAATGGCGGTTGGTAGTTTAAATGGGGATTTCAATAAATGAAAATGAGATTTAAAATGATAATGTAAGTGGAATTTTATGTATATATTGTGGATTTGTGAAATCAACATGCAAGTTAACTTTCCAAACGGTAGTTAACAAATGGGAGTTTAAAATACTTAGTGAGGTGGGGAGTGGTTAGGCACTTTGTGGGTGAATGGTATATTTAAATCAGGTGCCTTAATGGAAAAATCAATTTGAGGAGTTGAGAAAATAACGTGGCTGAAAAAAATGGAAGTCAGTTGAAGGACAAAAAAAATCATGTTCAAGAGTTGTTTGGCATATACAATAAGTGTATCAAATTTTAAATTTTTAAGGACTTAACATAGGTAGCAATTAATATAAAATATGTAGTCCCACATAACATAACCAAATCGAATAAAAATTTGTCGTTTAAAAGAAATTTCGACATCTTATAAAATTTTAAAAAAGTGCGCGAAACTTTACTATCGTGACCAAAACTTTAATTTGAACTCTTAAGGAAGGGTCGTAGCGATGTAATAATACAACCCAAATTATATTCGAGTACTACAAGAAAATTTTATTTTAAAACGAAACACAACATTTTTTTTTATTTTTTTTTCCGTCGCTACACTTCTCCCATATCTGGAGAATAAATAAACTAGCTTCTAATAAATTAGCAACCAAAATAATGAAAATAAGCAGAAATCATACCACTCCAAGAAAGGGTACTATGAGCAAATACTCTCTGTACAGGGTTGGAAGCAAGTTCTTGATGCACCTGCCATCCACCTGACAGACAAGGCCATAAAGATCTCAAGAGGGAGCTAAATATTAGGAAAAGAAAACTTATTTAGATATTTAAATAGAACATTAAATTAAAAACACATCGTTGTTTCATGAGCACGATAGATTTTGAGCAAAAACATTGATGAAAAGTAATGTATGCCGTATGAAGATCTTTAACGTGACTGAGTGAGAGGCATGATAAAAGAAGGAAATAAAGACAAAAATTATGAACGTTGGCAAACAAATTAACTGTTATATAAGAAATTAAATTAGATGCATCTGATGCCAAAGCCTAAATCAAATACAGTGCCAGACCTGATGTATCAAGTTACCTTCTGCATTGATAGTGCACCATAGCTGTTTTCTACGTCAATAAAAGTGGGAAGTCCACCAGTTGTCAAGCCCCAAAAAAAATAATATGGCATCAAAGATAAATTGAAGTAAAATGTGCCATGCCTTTATACACAAAACTTGATCATCAATTTGTTTAATCCAATGGTTGTTTAAACAGTCCTCTTCAAACAGAATTTTAAAATTTCATCTCTCAGGGGCTCATAAGAGACTAGAAAACAAGCGTAAACATTTTTCCATTAGCCCGTTGCAATGAGGTGTTTTTGAGTTTTGGTGTCAAATTTCAAGGTCTTTGTTATTAGTGCATGCCCCTGTGCAGAAATTACTTCTGTTTGTCAAAAAAGTTGCTGGGAAAACAAAACTAGAAGTTGGCTCATGGAACCACAGTTCCTCGTGCTAGAGATTTGGAGGGATAGAAATATACATGCATTTCAAGTTGTAGAGGGTCATTATGGAAATTAACAGTCTCTTTGTTCCTTGATGATCTGGACACAATTCCATCCCCGCATATATCAAATCTTGGATCATGTAGATAGGATTTGAGAAAGCTTTATTTAAAAACTTTGTAGTATGGACACTTCAACTAGGGTAAAGTGTCCGTGTCAGACATGTGTCGATACTGACACTTCTCGAACACTCTACGATAAAAAAATTCAATTTTTATTAAAAATATTGTATATTTTTAACTCAAAGTTATTAGTAAATAAAAAATAGAATATTTCAATAAGAAAAATTAATAAAGTATAAAATTAAACTTATATTATATAAATGAAAAATTTTAAAGAATTCAATCAACATGCCGGTGATGTATAGTATCGCTACTTTTTGAAAAATCGGATATCAACATATCCAATACGTATCGTTTCGGAGACACGTGTCCTTGTCGGTGCATCATAATTTAAAAATATGCTTTTGCACCTAATACTATAATAAAACTCTAATGCATCAATAAAAATTGCAACATCCAATTTGCTTAAAAAGGAAACTTCAACAAAACTTAATCCACATGTAGTTTAGATTATTCTTGTCAATTCAATAATGTAATATACATAATTTCCTCGAAATTCTCGGTGAATTTAAATGTTCAAGAATGAACTTTTGCTTGCGACAAAGTTGTAGCACCTTAACATAGAATGTATGGCTTCAATAACAAATCTGACTTCTCTGTCTTTCTTAAATTTACAAGCTTGTATTCACAATAGATAGGATGGAAGATCGCACAAATGCAAGCATGCTAATTAAGTACCTGAAATTCAATATGAACAAGAATACTTTGTGTTTCTTTCTTTTCTTTGCCAACTGGCAGGGTGATGGGTTTTGAATAGTAAATTCTCATCCTAAAAAGTTAGACAATACTTTAGAAGGGCAAAAATTCAAGAGTGAAAAAGAGATATTTCCATTAGCACAACAATTAGAAGATATTATTAAATTTCTCTGCCCCAACAGCAGTAGAATGACTAATTAATGATGGAAATAAAATTTAAGGATAGAGATATCAAAAATAACAAACTTAACCTTCAATGCAGGTTGATAGGAAGTACTACTAGAAATATGTTGATTTGTATTGGTTTAGGTAGCAAACAAGTGTTGATTTCGACCTGTTTTGGGGTCAATATAGAAATATGTTGATTTTAACAGGTTAGGGTCAATTTGACTCAATTAGTGTCGCTTCTAGTATGGATAGTTAAGATATTTACATAAAAACAAGGCCTTTTAAACAAAGAATCAAAGTGTAAGGCTATTTTGCAGTTTCCACATTGTAAGAAGGTCAATTTAAAATTCCTCAAATATCTAATATCCAGCTAAGTGTACAAAAACTAGACCATAAAACACAGACATCAATGCAACTTTGTTTAGTCTAATGAGGGAATAGAGTGACCTATTAACCAACTCTAGAAAGACCCTCAAGTCACTTAATAAAATTTCAAAAATAAAATGATAAAACATAAGATCATCACCTTTAGACAGTGTAACTGAATATAGCTTATTCATCCATGGTTTCACTTGTGGAAATTCTTATCAATAAAAATGGAATAAATGGTAAATGGTTTGGCAAAGCTACTCGAATATAGAACATTAAAAAAACATAGTTCTGTAGGAAAATGCGTATCACGGGACATGTGAAAATGCAAAAGCAAACTGATTCACAATGAAGTCGAAGTCCTTGCCTGCATAGAAGGTACTTGGAGTAACAAAATCAAACCTATAAATCAGGATTTTTAAAATGTGGTATGGATATTGTTTTATAGTAAAAGAGTTTTGATTTAATGATTAATCAGGCTAAATTTACTTCTCCAGAGAGCAATATGAAGAATACCTGCGAGTATCGAGAACAATTACAACGAGCCCCGTCAACTGCAGGTTTCGTCATGTTAGCCATTGCTCCACAGGAGTTGTTAACATTGTGATCATAAGGAGGAAACAAGGAGACTCGAAAACATCGGAGCATCGACTATATTGGGAAAGTTCGGCCTGATTGAGAAGGAGATTACCTCTAGTAAACAATAAAATAGCCACGATGTGGAGAACCATTATAACCAAGAAGACCACCGAAGCCCGAAAGCTTCTACCCAACTTCACTCCTCCAAAAACCCCAAATTTCTGCAACTGTTATTTTTGTTCCCAGATACAGCCAGATTTGAAGGCAGTGTACCAGCTTTATCAAAATTCAACACAGCTTGTGTGAGATTAAATCATTTAGAACCATCGAATCGAGTGCAAAATCAACATAAATAAATCCGATACTACCTTCAAAGTTTGGTGATGAGCAAGTTAAGTGGAAATCTGTGCAACACAAGATAAACCCTCGGCCACTTGTACCTTCCTGTTCTTGTTTGGGGAATTGAAAAATGATATTAAAAATATGAAAGGGTTTATCTGGTAAAATTATATATTGAGAAAATGTTAGATGAAGTTTGAAAAAAAAAAGAAAAGAAAAAAGAAATTGTAGGCAACAAGAGGTTAAAAGAATTGGGCAAAATACACTCATGGTTACCGAATGTTACCCTTATTTGCAATCTGGTTACTGAACTTTAATTTATTGCAAGCAATTAGGTTAGGCCATTCTGTTAGCCTTCTATTCAACCATTTAATAGAAATTATAAAATGACAATTAAAAGTAATGGAATCTCTATTCAATATGACAATTCAACCTTTCACCCTCAATCACTAAACTTCTAATTTGGATCAATCATACTATTTAATTTTAATTTCAAAGTTCTAAATAATTTCTAATATTATTTTAAATGTATTAAATAAATAAAATAATCCATATCTAATAACTAAAATAATAAAAACTTTAATTACTTAATAATTTCTACAACTAAAAAAATTTCAAATTTTCAAAATTAGTTAATTCAAAGTTCCAACTAAATACTTCCACTTAATATAACATAATAAATAATAAGGGTTCGGTTGATTTTAAATATGGAATTGAATTGAATTGAAAACAAATTTCAGGGAATTGAATTGCCTAGAAATTGATTTCCTAGGAATTGTAAATTATTGTGTTTGATTGGTATAATTTTTCACGTGGAAAATGTTGAAATAAAATGTATTTTTTGGTATTTATTTGACTTTGTTTTACATAAAAGTTGTCAATTAAAGGGATAAAATTTACTGGTATAGGGGATGAAATTTGTTTCCATTGCCAAAACAAAAAATAAAAAAATAAAAAAATTCAAGAAAATCATATGTCTTTTGGTGTTCTTTTGGCTTTGTTTTACATAAAAATTATCAATTAAAGAGAAATAGTTTTTTACAATATTTCTTAGAATTTGTTAACTTTGCCAACCCAAAAAAAAAAAAAGAAAATGCTACAGTAACCCGGAAAAACCAAGAAAATAAAATTCCCAATACAAGCAAGAAAATACAATCCATGGAAAATAAAACATATCAAACACATAAAATTGGAAAAAGGTGGAATTCGAACCAATCAAACAGGCCCTAATTGGAATCTTTGAAATTGTCTAATTTTGAAAACTTAAAAATTATCTAACAATAAAAATTATTATGCAATATGGATTTTTTTTTAAACTTTTAATTTTTAGTATGCATTATTTTATTTATTTAATGGTCTCAAAATAATTAAAATATTTTTAAAAAATAAAAATTAATACCTTGGAAATAAAGCTCAATGGTGTGATTGTTCTGAATTAGAAGTTTAATTACTTGATTGCTTGTAAGATTAAAGTTCATTGATAGTTGGTAAAATTCATGATGCATTACATACCATGTTGGATGTAGAAATTTTGAATTTATGTTATTGGAATTCATAATACTTACATTATGCCCTTGTTTGGTGAGGGTTACAATTAATTTTTTCGTAGATTTTAACAAAATTTTATGAAATGTGTGATTGAAAAGTTATGGATCTTAAGAAATTTGTGGTTAAAGTTAATTATTGATTTAAATTTAGATTAAAATTCAAATTTTAATTCCTACCAAACATGAGTTATATGTTATGCTTGCAATTTTCATGCAGCTATAGATTTCATTAATGTATTTTTCAATTATCGAAGATTTGGAATAGAACAAGGAATATATGGGATTGGAGGTTGTTAGGATTTTTGTACTGATTTGACGTACATAATTAATCTAGTTGATATTCCTTTTAATCAGTTAACTATGAATTGAAAAACAATAGCAATCAAAATACTTATTGAATCTAACATAACATGTTCCCTAACAATTTATTTGGAGCTCAAAAGAAAGAATCATAATCTAAACCAACTTCACGTAGCGTATGAACTTCGTGAAATGGTGCCAACTATAGAGGTTAGAGGTATCATAAAAAAAGGAATTTTAGTTCATGGTATAAATATTATACAAAAAGGAGCAAGTGGTTGGTTGTTTGGGTTAAAATGGACAATCGAGTTTTGAAACTTGGTAAAATAGATAGGTTAGATAGATTTTTATTTAAATTTTGAGGGTTTATACTCTCAATCGTGATATGGTGACATAAGCCCTTGACATAATGCTTGACCTGCTGACATGGAAAGTTGCCTTTTCCTTAAAAAAAAAAAAAAGAAAAAGAAAAAAAGGAAGCCAGAAAATGTATAAAACATTAAAACGAACACGGATCCGACCCAATCTTTCAAACCCATATCTCACTGCCCTTCCCATTTCGTACCCGTTCTCCAAGTCTACCGAAGCAGAACCCTTCCACCGGCACAAAGTCCCAAGACGAAATCAGTTTCCTTCAAATCTACCACAGCAAAACCCTCCCGCTGGCACCAAGTAGCTCACTCCCTTCGACGCCGGAACGAAAAGGACGGCATTTGTACCCTTCGTCGCTTGCTGCACCAGACCTGTACTCATCTTCGTCACTGAAAGTAAGTTCGAAAATGTGGGTTTTCGAAGGATTGACTATGGCGCTTAAGTTTTGGGGGTCAAATTTTTGTTTTCTGATTTTCTCGTCAGTAGCAATCATTGGGTCGAATGGAGGTTTTTTTTTTCCCATTTTTTCTCCTAAATCAAGTGAACTTTGAAATCAGCTTTGGTTTGTGAACTCTAAATCGGGTGAACTTTGAAATCAGTAATCATTGTAGTCAGTAGCAATCAGCTTCTGTTCGTGCACTTTGAATGTTGAAATTTTGCATTTTCTCGTTATGGTGTGTGAATTTTATAGATGTCTGGAATCAACTTCTTTTTGTGAACTCAATAAGATTGCTTTAATGGATGTGAGCTCTTATTCTTGAATAGCTTTTGATGTGTTGTGGTTTATTTTCAGCTTATGATGGCGGGGAAGAACCATGGAGTATGTCATGGTTGTAGAGGAAAAGGGCATTTTTTGCTAACTGTCCGGAGAAATGGCATTGCCCATGGTACAAACATGCATCCGTTAAATGTTTTGAGGTAGAGAAAGAGAGCAAAAACAAGGGTAGATTATTCAATACTTGTACTGCAAAATGTGGATGGATATTGGGAGTGGGTGAAAGATGGCGAGAATAACGGTGAAGCAAGTGTAGTCAGCATAACTTCGACGAATCATGTGATGAGCAAAGGAGTTGAAGAATTATCTTGCATGTTTTAATCTCAATGTCGACTATTTGATCAACGCAATGTGGAGATGTCTCTTAACGTGACAATACGCAAAGGAAGAGCAAACGTGGATGGAGAGAAGAAAGGAAAGGGCCGTGAATGAATTGCAGTTTTGAATTTAATGACCTTATTCAGTTTTGCATTTCTGGCATTAGTAGTTTCATCACTATTTAGTAGTTAAGTAATGTTGTTTTGTAATTGTGTCATCGCAGGGGGTCACTCGATGTGAATTGTCTAGATGGTATTGTCGTTTGTAGTTATGCAATGTGGATGGGATGGAGTTGCCATTCAAGGAATGTGTAGTATCAACTTGGACTTTGATCACATTCCAGCATCTCACAATGTTTAAGCATTGTCTCTTCATTATGTAATTTCTTTCCTTTTCAATGAAGTGATTGCAACAGATTTTAGTTGAATGTTTAAGCATTTTGTGGCTTGAATAAAATATAATCCATCTTTATTTCCCTATTTTATTGAGAAAAAGAATAATCAAAGAATACAACATGATTGAAAATCAATCGGTTGACATTAAACCGACTGACACTAAACAGAAATGTGCATATGAGCCAAATATTCCACTTAAAAAATGCAACAAGGTATATGCTTTAGTTAGAGATGAAAGGAAGAATAGCACTAACTAAATATATGTTCTAGTTGAAGCTCAAGTACAGTACTGAATACCAACAAAAACTTCATAGCAAACTTTTTATTCAACCTGTTTCCTTAGGATACTTTGTGTTTTCCAGCTTCAATACACTGTCCTGTAGAATTCAATGTTATGAAGCATCAGTTTGAAGTTGAAAAGAGCGCAAGAGAAATCATACCTTGGAAGTATTGTTTCTTCTAGTTGAAAAGGGACTAGGAGTCTTTTCTCAATATACGCAGGTAACGTAAATAAAATGCACCAATGGGTTCTCTACTGTAGTGGAAAATTCCAGTTTCAAGGCCGAGAGACTTGCCCCACTTTGAGCTGCTCTCCCGGCTACAAATTATATTACACAGCTAGCTATCCCTTACACCACCTGAATCGTGACATTTATTAGGCAGAAAACTGATTCATTCTTTCTACAACGTTCACAAACCTTAAGAATCATAAAATTAAATGATTAATTAGGTCTTAACCCAAAACTACAATGAAGGGGGAAGAACAGTTGAGAAGAAGAACATAATTGAGGATTTTGTAACGTCAGGACCCGCATCGATCGAAACGTTACAAGATTAACTATACTTTAGCCGTAAATTAATTCACCATGATTTTAGTGGGAGGTATAAAGATTTAATTTTGAGAAAATTTAATTCAATTTTTTTTATATAATAAAAGAAAACAATTTCAAAAAAGGGATTCAATCATATAATATATGCACTTTACATGTTAGATTCGCATATCGTATATGCAACATACCGTATTCACAGCATACTGTATTTACATAATACCATATTTGCAGCATATCGTATATGTATCATATCGTATTTACAGTATATCGTATTTACATCATACCGTATTTAAAGCATACCGTGTATGCATCATACCGTATATGCATGTAACCAAAATTTGACGTGAAATTTTTGTAAAACTTTGAAAGTAATATTGCTGTTTCAGTTTTTGTCTCTAATTGTAATGGACAAAATAAATTCGTTTGCATGGCTATCAACCTCGAATAATCGTGAAATCTTAGCGTAGAGTTGAAAACTCCTTATAATATGATATGTTCAAAAATTGACTCCGTCGGCAGCATATAGGGCACTAAAATAATTTTTTTAAATCTCGCAGCGACTCGGGTTGAAAGGTAACCCAGTGCAGCTTACGTTAAGTGTCATATAAAATTCTACACACATCGAATTGACGTGATTCCAACTATAATCAGTAGCCAACCCTTGAGACTATTAAACCCAATTGGTTTCGTCCAAAAATATCAAGTAATGAGTGAGTTATGGATTTTTTAACCCAAGGACAGAAGCTGAAAAACAGAGACAGCACCCAGTGTAGTTTACTTTATGTGACATATAAAATTCTACCAACAGCGGATTGATGTAAATCCAATTTTATTCAGTAACTAACTTATTAGGCTATCCAATGCCACTGGTTTTGTATAAAAATTCCAAGTAACGAAAGAGTTATGAATTTTTAAAGTCGAGGTAGAAACTGAAATTTTGAGGAGGGAATAAAACTTTAAATCGCTAACATTTTTGTTTTGTTTTGTAAACGGTGATTTGTAAATTTCTTTCTGTGACACATATCTACCTTCAAGCATGAAATAAAATAAAATAAACGTAAACATTCATAATTTAATTAAAATTTTCAAGTCACCGATTTTCTCCACGGCATGCCGCATCTCCATCTACCATCATCGACGCCCCCAAGCAAGTCAAATCAATCTGTAGAAAGGGAATTTATCCCATGAGTTTGAAATTCAATAGATATTATTGGTGCACTTCATTTTCAAATTAAAAATTTTGAACTATAGATTCATACCATCGCACATAGATAGATTTCCAGCAAAATCCAATTTCTGTAGCATTATCTTAACACGTAGAGTCGGAGAATGATCATTCAACTATTGTGGTGCCGAAGCACCATACCCGTAGGTACCAATTCATTTAAACATTTACGAAAATTTATAATTTGAAAACGAAATAACACTTGCACTTCTACCTACCTTCGTTTGATGCTTTTGAATCGAAGAAGTTGGATGTAAATATGGCTTCCTGAATGCAACCAATTCTAAAATTGAAATCTGCTTGTATTTTCTCTTCTTTTTCTTAATTTGGAAAATTTTTCTTGTTTACAAAGTGACAAAGCATACAATGGAGAGGATATAAATGACTTGGTGGAAAGATGAATATGTGAATTCCAATTGGCCCTTAGAAAAAGTTGGAAGCCGTTTATTGAATAAATTGAAGAATTGTCTATGTTTCCTTTTATTGAAAACGTGTCCTGCCTTAGAAATTAAAGGAAATAAAAAGGGTTTAATGAATTTGTGCTGGTATGTTTTTGTGTGCATCTATTTTGTGTATAAATTACACACATGACAATTTTGAAAGTAAAAAACTGTGGTATTCATCACTCCTAATTAAAAGAGAATTTAAAATGGATTAATTGGTTAATTGGCAAATTTGGAGGTTTCATTCCCAAATTCTGGGAAAGTTGGTTGCAATCAATTTAAAAGGATTTAAAAACATTTTAAAAGCAAAGGTTTTAAGTCACACGACCTGTGATAACGTGTGTGCCTGATTGGAAGTTCTTTGAATTAATGGGGCATATTTCATGGAAGGTACACATACAATACTATATATTTGTCATCAATTTTTTTTTCCAAACTTTATTCAACTTAAAAATATTAACATAAATCCTCAAGTAAAGACTTATGAAATCTCTTTTTACTTATAAATCCGTCATTTTGAAAAATAATATGTTCGCAAATGAACTTTACTATACATGAAATAAATATTTACCATCGGGTCAAAACTTTGGGGAAACGTTAAATTCCATCCAACTTCATTTAAAATTTATTTAAGACATATTGGATAGGTATTGGGCTTTCATTTCTTGTGTGCGTCGAGCATAAGGTTCGTCTATAGGTTAGGCTTGTGGTGTTAGATCATCACCTAAAAATATGAATCGAATTTCATTTTATTTTTCAGGCTTCTACAAATTTAAAATAGCACAATCAGGCAAATGTAAACTTAACCTGTGATCTTAAACTGTGCTGTAATGACAAAAGCCAGCTGGGTAAAACATATTTTATTCCTAGTTGGTAAGTATGTTAAGAAGCAATGCACTTGTCCGAATCAACCTCCTGAACATGCACCCTAATTCATCTTCAAGTTTTCAGTGATAATTTCCACAGCCTCCAATCTTTTAATTGCAGTTTGAACGGTGGAAATGTCACATTTTTCCCACAAACTTAGGCTTTTAACCAGAGTTAATTTAAACTTACTCGACCAAGACTCCAAAAACGCAATTGAAGTCACAGAGCTCTTGAGCAATAATGTAATGATGATAAGTAATAATAAAAGTATAATGAGAACAAATTTCTCCTCATAGCACGAGAACACAAGCATTCTTATCACAAAAAAATAAATAAGAAAAGTAGTATGTTTTCCCGATCAGAATATGTACAAAGAGAAGGCACAAAAAAGACCAGTTACTGCCTTCAGAAATTTCACATTTACAGCACTAGTATTGTTTCTCATTGCAGAATGGTGTCATGATAAACACGGAGATTTCACTTGATATGGCACTCATCGAACTCCCAGTTACATTCTTCGCTCGAATACCTACAGCAAAACGAAGGTTAGTTGACACGGTTAATGATAAGAATATCTAGTAGGCTCAAAACATAATTTGTATATATGTACCAACTCTGTTTTGTTGTATCGCTATTTTAATGTGATGGGTTAGTCCCATTGTTGTCCAGCACGTATGGAACATAGTAAGGCATTGCATGACATACTGCACACCATGACAATTTATTACACAACCAAAAAATTGCAAAGTAACCTCAACTATTGAATATCCAACCTCATCATTACCTTGATCATCTGGGCGCATCAAGTAGACGGTTGTAAGTGTTGTGAGAACCCAACACTCTGGGTTGTACCCTACATGGGAAAATATAACTTTTCATTCAAATTTATCTACATCAACGAACTGTAATAATATAATACACTAACCATTATGAGTTGCGAATATGATAACGGTACTGGCATTGAATATTGTGATTGTTGGGTTGTCAGAAACAAGGTTGCACCATCTCTAGGATTACTTTGGCATGCCTTCGCTTTTTTCCCTTTGGGTGCAATGCAACCTGCCTACATCACTCCATATCAGAATTTTATATGGAAACATATATTTGAACACGAGAAGAAAGAAGTATGGTAAAGGTAATGTAACGTACTCTCGCTTTATTTGAACTCAATTCCAACGGGGACTTCTTCCGAAGTTTTTTAGGAGCACCTTTTCTCTTAGACCCTCTTGGATCCCGAACACTAATGCATCCACTGCCAGTATCCTTCGATGCGATATCATTCGATGCTATACGAGTAGTATGACTGGACAAGACATTACTCCCGCAATTGGACTTCGACGCGGACATCTGTTTGCACTGAGATTCAATCCATTCTAATATTGAACCAACTTTTACGTCATCATTGCAAGTGATGCTTGCCAATGTAGCAAATGTGGTAACCATCTTATCATACATCAACTGTGTTGGGGTACTATCCAACCTGGCGTAGTTCACTGCAACCCTCGTGTGGGATTTGATAACATTTCTCCGCCATCTCCGTAAAATGTATTTATCTAGCAATAATTTCACTCCATTGCATATCAATAGCATGATTGCATGCCTACAAAGGATTCCTCGAAACTCGAATAAGTGGCAGCTGCAAATTACTTCACATTTGTCACTCGACAATGAGACAAAAAAAATCTCTTTGTGCAGTACTAGTCATGTATGACATCTTCGTGTGCCTCATACATCCTCCCCAAAAATCCCTCGCTAATGGAGACAAGATCGCAATAAACTTCGCCAACGAATTCATCTTAAACTTCTCTAAATTTCGAAATGGTGTACACTGCCCGAAATTGCTTCTCCATTTCATACCTAGTTGTGCAAGGCACCATTTGTGAGAACGATTTGAAATCTGCTGGAAACTCTTTCTCAACCTTATTTCTTAAGGTTATTTCATACTGTTCGACGAATTTTTTTAACGAGGTTTTCAAATCAACATACCCGTCAAAAAATACATTAATACTCTCACTTCTTTGAGTTGTTGACATCCCCGCCCGGAAACTGCTCTGCAAGAAGCAAGGAACTCAACGGGATCTATTATCATAAAGACATGATAACCATTCATTGTCTTGCAAATTATAAGTTTCTATCATTGCTGCCAACCTTCTTCGAATTCTTGAATAAATTGAGAATCATAAACCAATCCGTGTAAAGCAGAGAATATTGAAGCTTTGTCAATGTAAAATCCAAACTTTTTGGGCAAATTTTTCAATATGTGCCACAGACACCACCTATGCCTCATACTGGGAAACACGACCTGGATTGCATTCTAGATTGCCCTATCTTGATTAGTTATTATCCCGTTAGGAGCTCGGCAGTTCATGCTCTGCAGCCATGTTCGAAAAAGCCACACAAATGCATCAGTATCCTCGTTCGATATGAGACCACATCCGAGGAGAGAAGACTGTCCGTGATGGTTCACTCCAACAAATGGGGCAAACGACATATCATACTTGTTTGCTAGGTATGTGGTATCGAATGTGACAACATCACCAAATTCAATACATGCTTGCCGACTCCTATTATCTGCCCAAAATATATTTTTTCAGACGCGACTCCTCATCTGAATCAATACTGAAATAGAACCCTGAGCACCGTGCTTTCATAGTCGAAAAGTATGACTGTATTGCTGCGGTATCACCTTCTCCAAGTCTTAGCTGCCTAACTTGTTCAACATAATTTCGACTGTCTTTCTCAATGCAGGTCATATTCTCGTATCCAGCTGCTTCGACAACTGCAGAATTGAAACTTTTGTGCAGCGGTATTCCTGCAATGTCATTTACTTCAAGACGAAATTTCGCCTGAGCACTTAATTGTCTGTTGCATCTAAACAATCTAGACTTCGAAGGACTTGTTTTATGATTGTAATCCAGGTATACCGTATTAATTCGCCATACTCCACAAATATTTGAACATGCTATAAGCTTGGCTTTACAACCACTTTGCATGGTAGCTTGTGACTTCACAGAAACGCTTGTATTATTGATATTTTCCCTTCGCGGCTGCAAACATATGTGACATATCTCAGGACTCCATCATCATCCCTTTTCAAATTTATTTTTCTCACTAGAAAACCCATATCGTATGCATATCGTTTGTAGAAATTGAATATTTCATTTTCGTCATTAAACTTCATGCCCACTTCAGGCACAATCACAATCACACCGGTCCCTCCTGTTCCGTCATCACCTAGTAATTTTGTATTGTCAGGATCATTCTCTTAGTCGGACTCCACCAACATAACGGCTTCGACGTCGTCCAAAATTTCTTTCCCCGTGACAAAAAGCCGAGTTATGCAACATATTCAATTACGGTCGTTCATAACATAAAAAAATGGCTTCTTTCGAACAAGCATTCTACTTAAACGTCATCATGTTTCTACTTAAAATTTAAAAATTCCTTAAGTAGACATTAAATGACAAAATTATTTTACCAACCTCAAAAGTCTCCTATGTACATACTGGCCCACATTGATGTTACTTAGGACTTGGGAAAAAATTACTAATTCGTGTGTTTAGTGAACTGCCCAAGTATTGTGTGAAAATGATAAAATTTCTCCTCTTTGACCCCAATAATGTCAAGTTATAATGTCAAGTCATCATGTTTCTAATTAAAAATTCCTGACTATTCTGTCCAAAATCAATATCATGTATAAGAAATTTCAGATTTCACACAAAATAAATCAGAAGATTTTATCTACACACAACAAACATACAAAGATGTGGTAACTAAAAATAGTGTGGCTGGAAAGGTGATGGTGTAACACAATGAAAAGGGAGATTTGGCCCTAAATTTTCAAACAAATTCGCAGATTCCATAAATATATTCAATCCATTCCAATAAATTTCGGCCTTCACCTTTTTCTGTCATAATTTTGAAGACGTGGTTGGCAAATGGTCTGAACAAAGGTCCCAAATCGGAGATGTCGGACACTACTGGAAATTGTGGAATCTGGAATGGTGGTAGATACTGAAGTGTGGTGGTCGATACTGTAGATATTGAGCGCCAAAATGGACTTTCCGTGGATGACAAAGAAAATTGGCACCTAATGAAATGGGTAACCCGATCTTCTCACTTTTCATTCGGTTTTAAACAACAAACAGAGAATAGTGGGTCAAAGAGTTAATATTATATTGTTGACAGGTCATTCTATCATTGTGCATGTAAAAGGGCATGATAAAGTAGCATTTTCCTTATACTTTTTTCATTTTCTTTCAGCAGTAATCTGTCAATTCATTTCCCAATATCAAGACCATACAACACACCAAAATACATCTCGATTGAGCCTCCTAAGGAAGTCTCTCTTAACTTGAAGAATGTAGAACAAGTTAGCAAACTATCAGAACCAGCTTGATGACAGGTGCCAACTCGCTTCACGCCCAAGCGCTCTGCAATAGTGTTCAATCCGCCATAAAGGTTGTTGCAGAACCTGATCAGATACTTGATATCATAGACAATCGGGAAGTACATCTTAAGCAAATCTGCTTGAGTATCAGACAAACTCTTCCAAGTCAACAGCTTCAACAAGTACCCAAAATCATACGCGCTATGAAAAGTCACCCAATGGACCTCATCATTCAACACAACCCCGGACGACATCAGAAGTTGGCTGAATTCATAAACATGGATACCGTCATTATTTTTCTTGAAATCAATGCCACTATTGATTAATAGTTCAATGGAGTCATGCATGTAAACATCTTCTTCAAGGTTAAATTCACGGAAATTAAACTGCCAAATGTAGTATTTATCAGTTCCACAGGTGGGGAGATTCCCATTTTCATCAGAGAAGGTTAGGCCCAATTGAATTACCTTCAGAAGATCCACATTAGCCCTAAGGGTCTTAAAATTTTGCTCAGCTCGTCTTAAAATCACCTACGGGCCAAATAACAATGACCGGAAACTCGGTATCCATTGAAATGTACGGGTAATCATCAACAATATCTCGAATTAAAGCAAACTCGGCTTCAAGATTGTCATGCCACACCTCCCTTATATGTATTGTATCACTTATGGTCGAGAAAACCATTTTCTCATTAAAACCGACGCACATACGGACAAAAGAGAAACCAAGAAAAGCAATTCACCAAAATCTTCAGGATGGAATCTTTACGCTTATGGTTTTATATATCCTGATTAATTTTTTTTGGGCTGTGAAATCACATTGTAATGGTAAGTGAAGAGTTTGGGTTTTGCATGAAATAAGAGTATAAAAATATGAACTCTTGCGGGTTGGATTTGATAATGGGAGATCACAAGCAAGCAACAGACTATAGATACAATTGTTAGGCAATTTGTTGTCAAACGACCCCTCGGGCTATGATGTAACCCCGGTTCTATTATCAATCGGCTTTGGCCATATGATTGATTAGTATATCGAGACAACCCAATCCACATTCCTATAGACCGTTTGAAGCAACCTATTTTTAATAATGTTGCTCACGGTTCGTCCCATTTCCTTGGAGGGCTATGTTATTAATTTGAAGCCCATTATTTTTGAGTCGAGCCTTGTTTGGTCCACTAAATAACCCTAACCTAACTTACCTTGTTTGGATATTTACTTGGCTTATATTCTTGTCTTCCTCTCGGCCTCCAAATGAATTATGCCCAACCTCTCTCTGTGAGACTCTCCTCTCGATTTCTTCTCTTCACTGTGACCTTTGTGGTTTATTTCAAGTGGGCATATTATTGTTCTTCATCTTGTCCAACCGATAGCAACCAGAAGTGGGGCGGCCTTGGTGGTGGTTTGGAGTTGTCTCAATCCTTTTGCGGTGTCGACTTAATAGGTAATATTGAGCCCGGTTTGAACTTGGTGTTTGTTGGAAATAAGCTCCACATCTGGTATCAGAGCAAGAGTCACCTTCTCCGGCTAGAAAACCACCAAAAACGGCGGCGGTGTGCGCAATTTTCATAGAGGACCGAACCTGCAATCGCGTTTTCTGGCCAAACCAGGAACTTTCCGGCGAAACCGACCCCATACCCGGAACCAGCAAGCTGAGGTGCCCCTTCCAATGCGACGCATGGTGGCGATGGCGAACTTCGGGCGGCGGTGCGTGGGCTTCCGGCGACGGCGCGTGGCGGCAATTACGGGCGAACTTCCTTCGGGCAGTTTGCTCATTTCAATCCCCTGAATGCACTGACACTGTTTATTTTCTGTTTCAGGTTACACAGAAAAAGTTGGACAATTTTGCTCTTGGTGGATTAACGGTTGAAACTGCATATATCTATTGAATTACTTTAGGCCAAGATTGTGTCCCTAAAGCAGTAGATTCGCATCTCTCTCGATTATACGGACTCAGACACGTCCGCTCTGGTAAATTGGCTTAACCCGTTAATTTTCAGCATTAGCACGTCACTCTGTGGGGTGATAGTAGGTTGGGGGTTGTCATTGCTTGGCAACCATTGCTTGTGCTAGAATTAGGGTTACGTGCTCTTGATTGTTTTTGATTGAGTATTTGTTTTGGGTTAAAATCAGTTTTGTAATTCTTAGTGACCTAGTTACTGTGAGACTAGTTATCTGCTAGACGTATTTTTTGCTGCATTGTTATTTTCGCTGCTTACTTATTCCGTTAGAAATATCGTGACCTTACCTGTTCGAACATTTCCTTGATCTAAGACCACGAGTCTTACGAAATTCTGGGAATCTAAAACGGTGTATACTGTCTGTGACCCTAGGACTACTGTGTGTGGTTTGATTGTGGTTTGTGCATTTTTGACTGTTGTGTAAAGATGACAACTTACAACTTTGATTTGAGAATTTTTAATGGAAAGGGTGACTTTGCTATTTGGCAACAAAAAATGAAGGGCATTCTAGTTCAACAAAAGGTTTCAAAGGCCATTGAAGGCAATTTTTCAACTGATTTTTCACAAGAACAAAGAGAAGAAGCTGATGAGCTTGCTTATACCTCAATTATTTTACACTTGTCTGACGCCGTTTTAAGAAAGGTAGGTAAACTGAAAACCACTAAAGAATTTTGGAAAAAATTAGAAGACTTGTATTTACTTAAGTCTACACCGAATAAACTCTACCTGCTTGAACGTTTTTTCAGTTTCAAAATGGGTCATTCAAAGGATCTTGATGACAATTTAGACGTGTTTAACAAATTGGTACAAGATATAGTTATTCGTAATGAGACTGTGTCCGAGACTTATAATGCTATAATTTTGCTCAATGCAATTCCTGATTCCTATAAGGAAGTTAAGAACACCATTAAGTATGGTAGAGACACATTAACAACTGAAATTGTCATAGATTCCCTTAGAAGTAAAGAAATGGAAATTATGGCTGAAAAACATGATAAGAGGAACGGTGAGGTACATATGATGCGGAGTAGAACTCAATTTAGGCAAAATAGTCACGATAGATATCTAACTAGTGGTGAGTCAAGTGGTAATGGATGGAAAAAGAAGAGCAAAGGTAGGTCTAGATCAAAATCTAGGACTAAGGCGAGAACATGTTATGGTTGTGGAAACACAGGGAATTTTATAAAAGATTGTCATAAGGAGAAGGGTAAGCTAAAGGTTAAGGAGAGAGTTGAGGTCAATGTGTTAGCATCTACTTTCGATATAAATGGTGATGAGGTATATATAGTCCAGTTGCATACACTGCTGAATTAAATCTAACTGCTAATTCTCACATGCATGAGTGAATACTTGACTCTGGTGCATCTTTTCATGTGACGTCTGAAAAGAATTGGTTTTATAAGTTGCATGAATCTAATGTTGGGCATGTTGTGCTGTGTGATAACTTTGCCTATACTATTGCTGGAATTGGTAACGTAAAATTTAACACAGGTTTCGTGTATACGTTAAAGGACGTTAGATATATTCCTGAGTTGTTTAGGAATCTGATTTCAGTAGGGAGACTTGAGAAGGATGACTTTACTGGTAAAATTGAAAATGGTATGCTAAAAATGATCAAGGGTGCTTTAGTTTCCATTAAGGGAATTAAGAAAAACGATATATATATTACTACTGGGGAAGTGATTAGAGGAGTGAACCCCTCTATCTCCTCTGCCAAGATTGATCTCATACACACACATGGCATAATAGACTTGCTCACGTGGGGGTCAAGGGACTTAAGCTACTTAACGAAAAAGGTGCTTTTGGTAATGACTGTGTGTCAGATTTGCCATTTTGTGATCATTGTGTGCTTGGTAAGCACCATAAAACTTCTTTCTCCACGAGTGTTAATAGAGCTAAAGGCATGCTCGAATATGTGCACTCTGATCTATGGGGTCCTGCTAGAAATCCCACATCGGGTAGGAATAGATATTCCCTGTCTATTATCGATGATTACACTAGAAAAGTGTGGGTTTATCTTTTGAAGGATAAATTTGAGACCATTAATAATTTTAACAATTGGAAGAGACAAGTGGAAAATCAAACTAGCAAGAAAATCAAATTTTTTAGGACAGATAACGGCCTAGAATTCTGCAATAAGGAATTTGATAGTGTGTGTAAAGAAAGTGGCATAACTAGACATAAGACCGTTCCTTACACTCCTCAACAAAATGGGGTAGCAGAAAGGATGAATAAGACCATACTTGATAAAGTACGTTGCATGATGATTAGTTCTGGTGTTCCCAAGTCATTTTGGGGTGAGGCTGTTATGACCGCTTGTTATTTAATTAATCTGACTCCTTCTGCTGCATTGAATGGTGACACTCCGCATGAGAGATGGTCAGGTAAACTGAGTGATTACTCATTGTTTAGAAATTTTGGCTGTACAACTTTTTCTCATCAAAGTGAGGGTAAGCTCGAACCTAGAGCTAGGAAGTGTGTCTTTCTACGATGCCCCGAGGGTGTTAAGGGTTATAGGTTATGGGATAGAAGCCAAAAAGAGGTGAAAATCATCATAAGTAGAGATGTCACGTTTAACGAAAATGAGATGCTGTGTATTAAAGGAGAAACTAAACCTGAGAGTGAAGCTGAACCAGGTGAAGAGAGAGACCAGTTTAAGGTGGAGTTAGGAAAACTCAGTCCACCTGCCCCTATTGCTTCAAGTGAGGTGGAGACTCAAGCTCAGGAACCCGAGGTGGAGAATAGTAACAAAATAGTGATAGAAGAGCACTATGAGGAA